ATAGCACTGTATTCATTTATGGGAACCATGATTTAAGAAGTACACCAATAAACTAGGGAGTGTCCACAGAACAGCAACAGAGATGATGAAAGGCCCTGAATCCATGATATATGAGAAATAGCTGAAGGAACTGGGCATGCTTAGCCTGAACAGAATACTCAGGGGGTACATAACATAATAACTATCTTTCAAGTATGTGAAGGGTTGTCATATGGAGGAGAGATTAGACTTGCTCTGTTTGGACCCAGAACCAGTAACAATAGATAGTAGCTGCAAAGAAGAAAATTTGGGCTTGAATTTTGAAAAAACTTCCTGAAAACGAGAGCTGCCCAAAAGTATAATGGCTGATTTGAGCTCCCCCTCCTCAGAGGTCTCCAAGCAGAGGACAGATGACAACTTGATGGTATGTTGTAGGAAGGCTTCCTTTGGGTATGGATTAAACTGGATGTCCAACTGAGGTTCCATCAAATTCTGTGATTTTATCACTCTTGCTTTTTTATTTTTATCCCCAGGGTCTAGTATAGAGACTGGCATGTGGGCACTCCATAAATGCTTGTGGATTACACGGCAGAGGGATTAGCCTTATTCTGCTTGGCCTCAGAACAGAACTAGAACCAATGAGTGAAGATGAAGAGGTAAACTTTAGTTCAACATGAGTAGAAAACTTCCTAATAACTAGAACAATATAAAAACTCAAATTAAGGCCTCCTTGGGACACAGAGAATTCTTCATCACTGGAGATCTTCAATCAGAAGCTAGGTGATTATTCTAGAGCTGTTTTAAAAGAGATTTCTGGTTCAGCTATGAGTTAGATTAAATAATCTTTAAAATTCAATGAATCATTTATCCTAGAACAAATTGCAAAGAAATTAACTGGGTTCCATGGAAGGCCCACCAATTCCATTTTTTTTATTCATTCCTTTCATTTCTCATTCTAGACTTTTTTTTTTAAACTAAAGAACTTAGTGCTCTTTTAATTAGTCTCAGCCCCATGGGCTGTGCAAATACACTCCAAATCTTTGGTGCCCTAAGACAATGCAGTATTCCTGCTGAATTTATATGTTCCTGGGGATCATGAGTTCAATGCACTCAAATACAGCTGAAGCATTCTCACAGCAAGATCAATTTTCCTGAAGTGGGGGTGGGTGGGTGTGTGGGTGTATCTGTCTGTCTGTCTCTCTCAAGGATGTACAGTACTCAAATATTTAAATGATGTTATGATTTGGGTGTTCCCTCCAACAATGCAGATTGCAATGCATATTTATTCCTACCATTCCAGTGCTACTCTCATCCCTGGCCTCAAATAAGTCTGCCACAGGAGGGGTTAGCCTCTGGACCAGGAGGCTTTCCTGATATCACCAAGGATAGCAATGGGCCAACACTTGGCCTGGAACAGAATATGAGAACTGAAAGGGAACTCAGAGGTCAACTAGGCTAATTCCCTCTGACAAACATATATTTCATTTTATAGAATCAGAAACAGAGGCGCAGAGCAGCAAAATCCCCCCATGTGACCCCTCTATATTCCATTTCATTAAAAGCCATTTTAGTCATAGTCATAGTTAGTAAACATTTATTAACTGCCTACTGTGTGCCAGGCACTGTGCTAAACTGTAGGGATACAGATTTTTAAAAGGAGTTTATAATCTAAGGGGGTGAGGGGGGCTGCAGAAAGATAATACACTCTAGGTCAACAATAATCATCTAGTTCAGGCCCAGGGGCAGGATTTAAATGAGTAGATTAACTTCATTCTCAGGGCCTGACATTGTGAAAGACTAGAATAAAGAAATCTTAATCTCAGATCCACAGCGGGGAGTATTGGTCCAGATGGTGAAGGTGTTGAGGGCTTGCACTGATGGGTTTGAGGATTTAGGCCAGACTGGGTTTTACTTCCAGCCTGTTCTAAAATCTAAGAGCCACCTAAGTCAGAAGGTAGGCTCATCGACCCCTCCCAGGCGCTGTCCTTCCCTTGAGAACAGAAGGACCTTCAACAAACCTTGAAAGATAACCGGGAATCGAGGAGATGATTCAAGGGGGACTCCCCCCAGTTACCGTTACCATGAGAAAAATTATTGTTGATACTTGGCTTTTTCCACTCTGGGTTCTGTTCCCACGAATGGGGTATAAAAACCCTAACCCTCAGATCAATAAACGGAGCGTGTTCTTAACTTGCTACCCCCTGGTCTGTGTGATTCCTTTTTCTCTCTCATACCTCACCCGCAAGTAAACACAGTCGTAGATGCAGGTGTCTGTGACAAGGAGAAGCAGGTTAGCAGCAGCAGGCAGAATAAGATGGTTCAGAGTATACACTCAGGCTGGAGGGAATATGAAGCTGAAGCTGAGGGAACTGGTGTCTTCCTAGACATGCTCAGGTCATCTTTTCTAACAGACCACAAACTTAAGAGCAAGAAGCATGTCTTTATGTTCCTTTTATACTCCTTCCCCATAGTGCCAGACTTCTGTTCACCACAACAATCATTAAATTGTATATGTTCTATACAGGGTAGCTAGAAAGTCCTTGTTGCTTTCAAAAAGTAGCACCCTTCTACCAGGTATAAAATGTTAAGAAATAGTAGACACCTGAAAGATAGATTATCTAGTACAATCTCTTCACTTCTCAGATAAGAAAATTGATTCAGAGAAGGGACTCTGGCAAAGGTCACACAGCTAGTAAGTGGCAGCCAGAGCTGGAATACAGGGAAGTGCCTTTTCCACCAGATATCTTGTTGCCCCTCTAAGATAAAGAGCTAAAAAGCTGTCCTGACAGTCGCTCCTATAACTAAATCCCAGATCTGTTGTACGTACCCAAACCAAAGGCCCTACAGACTTTCAGGGACCAAAAGTGAAGGTACATAACCAGTAGTTTCTGCATATCTACACCTCCCTAAAAGCAGGGTTGACATGAAGGTAGCCTAACAGGACACCCCTGGAACAATGAGTGTATCAGTTGTACACCATGATTCTGGAACCGAAAAGCACAAAATCAGGCCAAGGAGAAACAGGAAAACACCTACTGCTTGGGCAGAATTATCAAACAGGCAAAGCCTACTCTGTGCCACCTACACAACCCCTTTCTGAACTCTTCTCACCTCCTCTGAGCACTTTATTCCCACTCCATGTGCCAAGTTTTCTTATCCATGTAAGCTGTCACCAATACAAAAGATGGAAATAATTTGACAAATTTACTCACACTATCATGTCCACAAATTAGGGAGAAAGAAAATGCTTAGCTCAAAGAAATGCTTATTTGGTACAGAAGTGAATGAGAAAGGATTAAATTTATCCTGGGAACTCCAAGAGGCAGAGGTCTGAACTAATGGTTAGAATATTGGAAAGTTAGAAGATCAGAAGTTTGGAAGCAGAGTAGTAACTCCCCTGTTTTCAAAACTGAAAATTTTAAGAAATTTCTTTGGTCTAATAAAAAGCACTTTCTAAACTTTCCTTTTTAAAGATGGGATAGAACTAAATGGCCTTTTCATAAAGTCCTCTAGATGTGATCATTGCCTTCCCTTCTCCCTCTGGGGCCCAATGCACAGCAAGCACATGGTAAACACTACATGTTAACTATTATTATTATTATTATTATTATTATTTTACGCATACAAGTGCCTAGCACATAGAAGTGAGTTTGAATGAATGTTAGTAGATGCGTTCACAAGACTAGATGACCAAATCTTAGAACTATAAGGGAATCTAGAGATTATCTCATCTCTCATTTTCAGATAAGTAAACTTAAGGCCCACAGAAATCAGGTGACTGTCCACGCCCATGTAGCTACTCTCCTTTCCTACCTAGTATTCTCTTTTATTTCTTCAGGTCATTCTTTCTTTCCACTTCACTACTTTAGGCACATACCTTTCAAAGGTTTACAATGCTTCTCCAACACACAGCCCACTCCCTCCCACGAGATACAGAATTCAGTTTACAATCCAACTGTTTCTATGAAAACGTAAGTTCCTTGAAGGCAGGGCCATTTTCTCCTTTCTTTTCTTCCTTTTTTGGTATTCCCTCTGCACACAGATGTTCTCGCAGATCCTCACAAAGCACGCTCCATCTCTGTTCTGCCCATCTTTACACTGGCCGTGCCCTCCCCACCTTCACCTTCTTTTCCCTGACTTCCATCATGAAGATGAAGCCCAAATCTCAATTTCTGCAGGCGGACCTCTCCCAGTCCTCCCAAATGCAACTGCCTTCCTCTCTTAAAATGACTTCTCACCAACTCTGCCTAAGATGTGTATGTGCCTGGTTACGTACAAGATTTATACGCAGTCTCCCCTGTTGGAATGGGAGTATCTCGTGGGCAGGGGCTGCAGAGGCCTTTCTTTGTAAACCCTTCCCCCCCTCCCCCCCGCCGCTTCCCCAATACACAACAGTAAACAATAAATAAAATGCTGCCAGTAGGTGTTTTGGAAGAGAGGGTGGTGCCTTCCTTCCCTTGCCAGCCTATGGAGAGACAGAGAAAAGTGTGACGTTGCAGCCGCGCCCCAGGATGAAAAGCGATTGGAAAGCTCAGCTGCCTCTCCCCCTTTTCCCCCCTCCCTCCAGGCCCCAGGGGGAAGCTTCTTCCTGCCGGGACTCAGACTAGAATAATCCTTCCTCTCCAGGCGAATCACAAACCTCACCAACCAGCAGAGAGAAATGTTCGTGGGATCGAGGAAAGGGGCCTTAGAGATCATCTAATACATCCCCTTCACGTCTTACAGAGGAGGAAACTGAGGCTAGGAGAGATTTAGTGACTTTGCCAACATCACCCAGGTAGGACGTGGAGGCGGGATTCGAACCCAGGTCTTGGCACTGCGGCTCCAGCGCTCTTTCCACGACAGTCCACTCCGCTGACTTAAGTAAGCACCCTCTAGGCGGAGCCCTCCGCTTCCCGCCCGGCCTGTCTCGGACCTTTTTTTCTTCTTTTGCCCGGCTCCTGCGCCCAGTCACCATCACCTATAGGGGGTGTTACGCTATCGTGACACCACCTTCTGTTCCCAAGTCGCCAACCACTCACCTGAGTGACGAGCCCCGAGGATAAGCATTCGGCCAACAGCAGCCCCGCGGCGGTTGGGGAGGTCTCCGGGACCCAAGGGTTCGCAGCCGCCATGTCTCCGCTAACCGTCTTTCTCTGCCGGGTGGAGGGGGGAGGGGGCCGGACAGAAATGAGGCTCAGCCTCCGGGCAGCCACTGCGCGCGCGCGCCGCGGAACTCAAACGGCGGCAGCCTGGGCCAGCGGCGCAGGCGCGTGCCAGTGACGTCACAGGGCGTTCCGGGGCCAGGCCGGGGAACAAGCTCCCGCCCCGGGGCGGGGCCCCCGGCGTCACCGGGCCGAGGCCGGAGTGCCCGGGCCGGAGGCCGCCGGGGCTGTGAGTGGGAGCCTCTGGCAGCGCCGGGCTTCCGGGGAGCGGCGGAGGGCGGTAGGGCCCAGCGGGCGGGCAGGCCGGTTGGACGGCCCCCAGAAGGGAGGCCGCCGCGCCCCCTCGGGCCCGGCGGTGACCGCAGCGGCTTCTCACGCAGGGCGAGTGAGGCCGGGGCCGACTGGCCGGCTGCAGCGGCTGCAGGATGGGGAACAGCGCCCTCCGCGCCCACCTGGAAACGGCGCAGAAAACGGGCGTGTTTCAGCTCAAGGACCGCGGCCTGACGGAGGTGAGACCGAGCCTGGGGCGGGGGATGGAGCCCAGCCGGCCCCGGGAGGCGGCGGGGAAGCGGGAGGCTGGGCTGGGCCGGCCCGCGCTGCGACCACCCCCTTTCTCCAGTTCCCCGAGGAGCTGCAGAGGCTGACGAGCAACCTCCGGACCATCGACCTGTCCAACAACAAGATAGAGCACCTCCCGCCCGCCCTCATCGGGAAGTTCACGCTGCTCAAGAGCCTGTCCCTGAACCACAACAGACTGAGTGAGTGGGGGCGGGGCGGGGCCCCCGGGCCAGACCGGCTGGGGATGAGAAGTGTCTCCGATGAGACTTGAAAGCTGTTTTGTGACAGCCCCTCGGTATAAGGGAAGCCCCCCCCCAAGAAAAAAGTAAGGTTCCCCTTGCTTGCTTTAACCAGGGCTCCCAGTGCCCTACTCCCTCGTTGTAGGTTGAGTCCTTGTCCCTAGTAAATGTCTAACGAGAGACCCTCGGACCAGCCAGAGACGTTGAGGAGAACGACCCCCTTAATGAGTTTGTGTGCTGAGAATAGTTCCATGCAAAGCTTTATTGCAAGCAATGGGGAAGGGGGAAAAGGGTTTAAACACTAACACAGTACAGCTAGTGTCATGGCTGCGCTGCCTTGGAGAGCACAGAAACATGGGTTCCATCAGCAGGAGGTGGTGTCCCATTTGGAGAGAAAGGTCTGCTCCAAAGTCTCCTCTTTGAGAGTGGAGTTCTTATACTCTAATTTTTGGTGCCTCTTCTCCCAGCTGCTTGATTTGCATGTCAGGGGTCAAGGCAAAGTATCATTTTGTGAGAAAAAATAAAGCTGCTGGTAGACAAGATCTTTGGGGGACACAGCTGAACCTTCAAAAAATGTTGTCAGCATTTTTCCACATTCTGTAAACTTACAGCTTCCCTTAAGGGTAGATGATCAAGCTTAATCTTATAATAAAGATTTGTATGCATAGATTCTATAAGCTACAGCCTCCCTTAAGGGGAAAAATATCATGGTGGTCTGAAGACCACTAGGCCCAACCTTATAACAATAGCACTAGAAAAATTGGAAGTACTATTAAAAAAAAAAAAAGGATGCAGAATTTACTAAGGCCACACTTATGGGATTCTGCAACTCACAAAATTACCTTTAAATGAGCCAACAAGTGTTTGTTAAGCAGGTACAGGCACTGTGCTAGGCCCTGGGCATAAAAAGAGGGCCCTGCCCTCAAGAGAGTCTCAGTCCAGTGGGGGAGCAATGTGCAAACAGTTATGTATAAACAAGACATATATCATTAACACTGAGAGAATTTCAGAGGGAAAATATTAGCATGTAACGGAGATGGGGGAAGCAGAATGTGGGACTTTAGCAGAAGATTTGAGGAAATCAGGTGGTGGAACTGAGGTGGAGAGAGGCCTGGATTTGATTAATCTTGTTCAAGGAACAGCAGGTAGGTCTGTGTAGTTAGGTCACGAGTAAAGAGAGTCAGGTATAAGAAGACTGGACTGGTAGGAGAGGTCCAGGTTACAAAGGTCTTATCAAACACCAGAGGATTTTATATTTGATCTTGGAGGTAAGAGGTAGCACTGGGCTTTGAATAGAAGTTCGCGAGATGGTTAGACCTATGCTTTAGGAAGATCTCACTGATGGACTGGAATGAGGAGAGACTTGAAGGCAGGGAGAAGCTATTGCAGTAGTTACACAGTAATTACCCCTTTAGTGCTGTTGTGTCCTTTATTTTCCATGTGACCTTCCAGAGGGAAATATAGCAAAATACAGTATTTGAAAAATAGCACAGCATGGGGGTGTTCTAGATCAATTAAGAGAAAATTTATTGGCAAGGCAGTCTGCAATAGAATCTTTGAAAGCTTTTTGAAACTGGTCCTCCTCTGCATCACATTCAGTTGTTTCTGATTATCTTTGCTAGCTGTTCTGCCAGAGGAGCTGTGCAGGTTGACAAAGCTAGAGACCCTACACCTTAACAACAATCACCTGACACAGCTGCCAGCTGCTTTTGGGCACTTGTCTGCCCTCAGGTCTCTGAGCCTCTCTGGGAACCAGCTTCGAGCAGTACCATCTCAGCTCTGTAGCCTTCGACACTTGGACGTGGTAGATCTCTCCAAAAACCAGATTCAAAGTGTACCTGACACAGTAGGAGAACTACAGGCTATTGAGCTGAACCTCAACCAGAATCAGGTTTGTAACTTAGACACACATATGAGTTTATGGACTTTTGAATAACCCCCTTTCCTCTTTATGTGACTTTCTGAGAGAGAGAAAAAGAGAGAGATCTCTGTGTGTGTGTGTACACACTCGAGTGTGCATGCATGCGAGTGTCTTTTCACTCAAAGGGCCATTTATTTGCACACAGCTTAGGATCAAGTTAACGAGACTGAATCCTGTGAGCAAGGTTTATGTTAAAGCCCCATCAACCAACCAACCATTAAATGTTCTCTAAAATTTAAGTCAGGTGGTGGTAAGAGGTGAACTGTCTTTTCATGAACCTTGGTGGACTCTTCAGTCTGCCCATTCTTACCGTGAAAGATTCCCTGACAATTTGATCTCAGAACCTTCTAATAGGAACTGGGAATTCAGGCAGAATATTCCCATTTTAGCAGTTTTGATAAGGACTATGCAACAAAAAAGGTAGAAATTTCGTGGAAGACTGATTATCTGTGGAATTGCTTGTTGTAAGACTTCGCCTTTGAAGATGAGGTACAGAGATGTCATTTCACGTTATTTTGACATCCCTTCTTGATATAATCAAAAGGTGTAATTGTTGAAATGAGAGGAGTTACACTGAACTGCCCCTTTGTACTTCTCCAGTGACTAAACCCCTCCATGTTAAGAGGTTATCCCTTATAAATATGTCATTGAGCTGCCAGGATTTAGAGGCTTTTTGGGGTACTATCATGGCAGAGATTAAGATGAGCTAATTAAGCAATGGGTGTTTGGTTGAGTTTTCTCATTTGTGAGGGGCCTGTGTCTATATATTAATGCCTCCCCCACTAGCTGCCAGTACCTTGCCATCCAAATATGTGTGTAAATGTCTCCCTCAATAAAATGTATACGCTGCTTGAAGGGCTGTTTCATTTTTATGTTGTACCCTGCACCTAGCGCAATGTCTGGTATATTCTAGGAACTTAATAAATGAATGCTTATTGGTTGATTTGCTCTTCAGAGTCATTTCCTATATCAAATGTTAAAACCCAGTAAACCAGCATCCCTTTCAGTTGCTCTGAATTGGCATATCTGAAAAACCTGATCTTTTAGAATTCTGAATATTTTGGAGTGTTTGGTGCAGGAAGTTAAGGCTCCTGTTCTTAGCTCTGCTGCTGTCTGATTCTGTACCTATGTGACCTTGACAAATGCATTAACTTCTCTTGGGCCTCAGTTTCTCATGTGTAAAATAATGGGTTGGACTATGGATATGTTTGTGAGAACTCAGGTAAATATAGATGGCCCCTCTACTCATCTCCCTGTCAGAAATGGGTTCTTTCACAGAGCTGAAAAGTGCTTAGTTGGAGGAACTTTACTGGGGCAAAGCATTCTCACCCTTGCCTCACAGAAAATGCTTATCTGGTTTTGTTTGTTTGTTTGTTTAAGCTTTGTTTTGAGGTTGGTAGGCCAGCCTCTGCCTATTCTGAGGAAAAATGGTGATATTAATGCAGCATTCTGAGTTTTGAGAGCTTCAGGATTTTGTACTCCTAGGAGGCAGCGAGGTGGCACAGTGGATATAGCATGCTGGCTTTGAAGTCAGAAAGACCAGAGTCTTCCAGTCACTTAACCTTTCTCTGCCTCAGTTGCCTCCTTTGTAAACTGGAGATCCTATAATAAATAGCACCTATATCCCAAAGTGGTTGTGAAGATAAGGTAAGATATTTGCAAAGCACTTTGCAAATCTTAAAGCACTAGCTTTAAGTGCTACCAGTCACCAATATTCCACTTCATATCATTGCTATGTTAATATCTTATCTTCTCTACTAAATTGCAAGAGATAGTGTGTTAGCAAAGCATCTTCCACATAGTAGGTGCTTGATACATGTATGTTGAATTTTGATTCAGTCACCAAGAAATTTATTTTTTGTTTGTTTGTTTTTTGGCAATTGGGGTTAAGTGACTTGCCCCCAGGGTCACACAGCTAGTTAAGTGTCAAGTATTTGGTCTGAGGTCAGATTTGAACTCAGGTCCTCCTGATTTCAGGGCCAGTGCTCTATCCACTGCGCCACCTAGCTGCCCCCACGAAGTAAATTTATGAAGCAATTGTTATGTGCTTAGGACTGTGCTGAGTGACTTAGGGGATGCTAAAGAAATAATCTGTAAGTTAATAATATAGTTGATGAGTTAAAACTTACTATATGAAAGAGAGAGCAATTTGTGACTGAATTTTGCAGGACAGACCAAGTTCTGTAGGAACTCATAGGAATTTGGCTATGAACAAGAGTGGAATGTCATAAGAGTAGGAAGAGTGCTGCATCTGGAGTCAGAGGCCTCTGGGTTCAAGTCCTAGCTTAGCTACACTGGATAGCTATTGACCTTAGTGAGATCATGTAACTTTTCTGAGTCTTCATTTACAAGGGTGGAAGGTGATATTTATGGT